GATTAAAGGCTCAAGTTCTGGAAGCATTAAAGGCAGATTAATGTGTCACTGCCTCTTCTCACAGCATCGCACTGGGACAGCAACATGACTACACCTTTTCTCTTTCCAGAACTATCATGTTCAGCAGACCCTGCAAATACTGATTATGCAGGCTGGAGTCAAGACTCAAAGACAGTGAATTTCATTTTACAGATACATCTTTTCTCAGTTCTTGTACAACAATAATAAAAGTGACTGAGTGTGACATGATTTGGGGTGATCAAGTAGTTAAATGTTTAAACAGCTTATGGCAAATTAATAATACTGAAAATGATTGAAGGGATGAGATGAGGACATTTGTGGAGTGGAAGATGAAAGGCACATTCCTTAATCCCATTTCACATCCAACTCCTCTCCAAGCAGCAACAGTGGTTTATAAAAGCTTTTGCATAGATTGTGCAGCTGCCTCTACTGGTTCTTTTTTCTTTAGCTGTTTTCTATCTCGTCTCATAAGGCTCCTATCAGGTGAGTGTCTACTTTCAAGAAATATTAGAACTTCATCGAATTTCATCAGGATAATGTACTGTATTCCTCTTCTGCAAAGTAACCTGATTTAGAAGGCCTATAATTTTTTTTCTCTAAATATTCTTTTACTCAGATGAGAATGAAAAAAGGAGAGATTACAGAATATTCTGAGTCGGCAGGTACCCACAAGGATCATTAAGTCCAAATCTTAAATGAGTGACCCATATGGAGATCAAACACACAACCTTGCTGTCCTTAGCACAATGCTTTACCAACTGAGCTAATCTCAGGGTAAGATGATTTAATAAATAGAAGGAAAGAAAAAAGTGAAAACCTGAGTTATTTTAGAGCATAGAGAATGTGGGAGAGTAGGAGGGACAAGGATATATTTGCTGCCTTGAACATTTATTTACTTAATTATATTCTGACAATTGCAGCCAGGGAGTGAATGAATCCACAATGTTAATGAAATGTGTGATGTTTTAAGTCATAAACCTAGGCTGAGGAATGAAGAGATAACTTCCATGTCAGGTTTTGAATTGCTAACAGTAGCTAGCATTTATGAAAGCTCATACCTTTCTCAGAGTGGGATTCACTGCTGCCATCCCACACTGTATTGCTGAAACTTGAAACTTGTGTAACATCCCACATTTTGGTTAATTCTAAATGCATAAGTCTCTGTGCTACTGACAAAAAAACAAAACAAAACAAAACAAAAAAAAAATCACCAAAACAAAACATATTTTCTCAAAGCAAAATGACCAGAAATACTCTAGATCTGGGGCCATTTTTGTCATTTGGAAAGGTTTCTGTGAACTCTGTGTGTGTGAAAAAACTTAACAATATTCTAAAATTACACTAGATACCTAAATAACTGTCAATCTGCTCTCAAAAATATGAAATTTGGATTTCTCCTTAGGGCAAAAGTCTCATTATTCAGCCTAATGAAAATAAAAGTCATGATGTGGAGGAGTAAAGCTTCTCTCAAAAATCTTAAAGCCATCACTCTCCAAGCAGTCCCTTTTAGCCCTGTTTCTAAAGAGAGACAGATATTTTCAAGGTCTCACTGGATTATTTTCTTCAGCAGCAACTCACAGAAGGCTGCCTAAATGCAACACACATGTTCTCCTGTAGTCTGCAGCTATTCAAGTCATGGCTCATAACAGATTATGAAAACTGTAAGATTCCTGATGGAGATACTTTCATGCAAAAAACCCCTTGGGCTATTTACCAGCCTTCTGTTGTGTGACTGCTAATGTGACAGATTGGCTGGCAAGGGTTAGTAGGGGAACACAGCTGGGACACTCGATACCAACTGACCAAAGGGATTGTCTACAATGTTTGGTGTCAAGCTCTGGAATGGGGGGGGGAAACGTGCTCCTGGTAATGACATTTGCATTCCCAAATATATATTACAGGTGTGAAGCTCTGCTCTACAGTATAGGCCTGGGCACCTACCAAAGGTAAGGAGTGAATTAATTCTTCTTTTTTCCTCAGCTTGCGCACACTCATTTTACTTTCCTTATTAAAATATCACTATCTTCATCCATGAGTCTTCTTGCCTTCATTCTGTTTTCATCCTGGCCCTCAGGAAAGGGGATTGAGCAAGGGGATGGGTGGGTGTTTGACTGGTAGCTGAAGCCACTTCACAAAGTTAAAACAGGGTGTTACATAGAGACTTTTCAGTGAATTACTTGTTCCTTCAGATTTATTTTTACAACACTCTTTTTGCCCTATGCCAATTTTTTATCTAATCTGGAAAATGAAAAAACAAAAATTCAACTGCTCTAAGATGTAAGGCTTTCTTCAATCCCAATGCTATTCAGAAATATGTCATAAAAGTAAGTCAGAGATTTTAATTTGTAATCATGTGTTATGAAAATATAATCATAGAATCATAAAATCATAGAATGGCTTGAATTGGAAGGGACCTTGAAGATCATCAAGTTCCAATCTCTCTACCATGAGCAGGGTAGAGAGTCTTTCATTAGACCAGTTTGCTCAGAGCCCATCCAACCTGGCTTTGAACCCATCCAATGGGTTCAAAGATGGTTGGGATGGGTGGGCTCAGAGCCCATCCAACATCTAGGGCATCCACAGCTTCTCTGGGCAACCTGTTTCAGTACCTCACCACCTGCACAATAAAGAATTTCTTCCTAATATCTAATCTAAACCTACCCTCTTTCGCTTTGAAGCCATTCCCCCTTGTCATGTCTCTACATGCACCTGTATAGTCCCTCTCCACCTTTCCTGTAGGTTCACTTTAGGTACTGTAATGTCACAATTAGGTCAGCCTGAAGTCTTCTCCTTTCCCAGCTGAACTATTTCAATTCTCTCAGCCTTTCCTCACAGCAGAGGTGCCCCATCCCTCTGATCATCTTGGTGGCCTTCTCTGGACTCACTCTAACAGGTCCATGTCCTTCCTGTGCTGGAGTACCCAGACCTGGATGCAGCACTGCAGGTGGGGTCTCAGAAGAGCAATGCAGAGGGGCAGAATCTTCTCCAATTTTTCGCACAGCTCTTTTATGCTGTGATAGATGGTGTCATCAACTTATATCTTCAGCAGGCCTAAACAGTCCTGACCCTGTGCTGAGTGTCACTACATGAAATTTAGAAACCCTTTGGCTGATGAGATTTCAATTGTTCATGTGTAACTGTGCTGATCTCAATCAAGATTCCAAATGAATATCCAATTCTTTATTATCTATTTATCTTATACCTATTCCAAATTTTCAGCAATACAGAGGCCTAGAAAGGAAGCATTTATCTGTGTAAGATTACTAGGGGATTTTAAGTTTGTTCTTGGATTTTTGTGTTATTTATTTAAGTAACAAAGGACTTAGAAAACTTGTCAGTTATAAATTTTTTGCTTTCTTCCATGTAATATTTTGCATTTTAACATAAAGGAGATGTAGGCCCCAGAGATTATTTATAAGCAGTTAAAATAAGCAATTCTCAGTCATTATAATATCAATCTGTATCCTCCCAAAATGATTGTATCTATGCAGCTTTTACATATTTTACCTCAACAAGTTTAAAAATACCTACACCTTAAATTAGGAAATCATTATTTTGTGAGAATTATGAAAGTAAAATACCATACAAGCATATCCTCCAAAAAATTAATTTTAGAAAAGAACGGCTCGGAGATTTTCTTAAAGACTTAGTCATCAGAAACTATGTAGTGAGTAAATCTGAAAGAGAACAGAGTGGAAACATCCAAATATAAAATCGGTTTTATTTTTTATATATGTGGTTGTATTCTTAATAACAACACCAAGTGAATGGGATTTAGGCACTTAAAGCTGCCGATGCCTCATGAAAATCCCATCTTCATTGACAGACCCGTAGTGACCAAACTGCAGTGTCCAGCACTGCCCTCTGGAGACCCCCAAAGCCCTTCACCTGTGACTGCCAGATGGCAGGACCAGTTCCCTCAGTACCCAAAACCAGGCACAAATAAAATGCTTATATCAGGTGGGTTAGGTCACACCTCCAAATAACATCTTCATATATGTCAAATTTTTTCTGATGATTGTTCACCCAGTTCAGGTATCCAATGGCAAACAGAAAGCTGTGAAGTGTTTGTTGAGGACATTCAAAAAGTCCTTAGAAATAAAAAGGTTCCTGACAAGCTCATCACATGTTCATCTGCTACAGGAAACTAACCTTTGAACAAATATTAATAAGAAAGAGCTATTTGACCAGGTGTAGCTTGCAGGTGGATTTAATTTCAGGTAACAGCCTGAAAATGACAATAATTATCCATTACTTATTTACCTGTTTCAACTTCTGTTTGCAGAAAATAATCTAGAAGAGAGACATTGACACCTTTGAAGTATTTCCTGCATTTATCAGTGGTAATTCTTGTTTTAAGCACACTTGTGGTCTAGTTTTGCTCAATCTATTCAGTCATTGAAATTTACATTTATCTCCCAGTTGTTCGAAGTGACAGGAATACATATAACATGAAAAACTGAAATATGCTGCCTCATTTCCCTGTATATTTCTCCTTTACCATTTCTTTTTGCCCTGCCTATTCATTGACCTTTTACCCCCTTTGCCTTCTATTATTCTTTATAGGGCTAGATACTTTAATTTTTTGCTTACAGTTATTTGTCTGTGGAAAATTTCCTTCTTTATCTTCCTTCTCGTTTCCCAGTAACATGATTCCTTTTTAACTTTTAAAACTTTCCTTTTGTTTTGCCACAGGAGGGGTGCCAAATCAGCTCCCTCAACTTTCAAATGCCTTCTATATCTTTTCACTAGCCTTCTTTATCCCTTTACTTCTGCTTCAGCCCAATCCTACTGTTACAAGATTTCTTGGGGATTTTTTGGTTTTATGGTGGATGTTTTTTGTTTGGGAAGGTATTTGTCTCTGACATTTGGGCAGTGCAGAAAGTGCATCCCTTTTTTCCTGTTCACATCCCAGTGGAATAGAAAGAATAAAACCCTGGAACACAAACCTGAGAATATCCACAAGAGATTATCGGACTTTTTATTGTCACATGGTCTTGGTTTATCAGAAGGAACATAATCACTGATCTGATGGGATTTATGTTGGGTAGCACTTTTTTTTCACAACATGGGACTTTTCAGAAATATTGTAAGGTTATATAGCCAGGTGAAAGAAAACCCTAAAGTAGGATGGGCTGCTGAATGTGTGATAGGAATTAGACTGTAAACTGAGCAGTTCTTTGATGTGACTGGGAGAGTAAGGGTAGTGATTAAGACTGGTTGCCAAATGGGTCCCAGTTGTGCAATTGAACAGTTGACTTGCTGGAATTCCCTTCTGTCATTCTTGCTGTTCCAGTCCATGGTATGAACAATTGAATGTCCTGGCAGTCATCTATTTCATTTCCTGCTCAGTTTAGCTGTCAAACTAAAAAGAAGTATGAATTTTGTAGTGAAACTGAGACATAAAATGCAATGCAATGAATTGGCATTCAAGTGGGCTCTTTGTTGCTTGAGACAAATCTACACATAGAGAAGGCAAATTTGCAATGACAATCTATCAATCTCAATATCAGGGTGCTTATGAGCCTTTTTTTCTGCCCCTCTCTTCCACTACTGAGGTTCAGGCAAAGGACCATGGCAAACTGGCTGCTAACAGCTGTGAAGTACAAATCTTCCAAACAAACAAAGAAAATATAAATAGATGGCACACGTTTCCTTCTGTGTAGACTTTAGCAGGATGCAGAAGGAAAAAAAAAATCTTCCCAGCCCAAAACTGTTTTGTTTGTTTAGAACAAATTTTAGATTTTCAATCAATCAAATTCTAATATTCACAACACAGAATGAGAGTCTCTTGATGTATTCTGGAAAAAATACTTTTGAAAACTTGCTGTGTTATGAGGCTTAAGGCCAAAAATCTAAAACCAAATAAAAAGCCCACCCCCAAAACAACAAAAGAAGGAAGTAGGTAGAAAAAACATGGAGCTATTCTTTCTTTCAAACTAATCCTTCAGAGAAGGAAAAATACCCAGTAAGTTTTCTATGTGTCAAGAAAAAGAAGGTCTGAATATTACCAGAGAAAAGAAGCTGGAATAATTCTTATCCAAATTACGAGTTTGATTGGTTATTTCTGCTATAGTTTGACTTCATGAACTTTGGGAGTTGTGTCTGGTATTTGTACCGTTTCTCCATGTTATACTGGAATGCCCTCCACCACAACATTTCTGCTCCTTGTATAGTCATTCTGAAATGTCTGAGGGAAACTTATACTGTATCATTGCTTTTAGTAAGCTAACCAAGCCAAAATTTTTAATTCTTTTGCTAGGAGATGCATTTTTTAATTCAGTGGTCATGCCCATAGCTTTCTTTGGCACCCTCCAGTTTTTAAATCTTGTCTAAACAGTTTCTGTATGTTCTGAAACTGATGTATTAGAGAAAGATTCCTTTTATTCAGACACAAGTGGGTTGTTTGAATAATGTGATACATGCTTTTGCAGTACACCTCTGCAAAACTTTGTGGGAAATTAAGCTGATTAAAAATTGAACATCAAAGTCACTTTGGAAGGAAGGAATATTGGTAGACTCCTCAGAAGCTTTTTAGACACTGTGTACAAAAACCAACTAAGGAAAACATGCTTATGAGGGAAAGATACAAGAAGCTATAGCATAATTTGAAGAGAGTTATTAGTCTGAAACATCAGAAAAATGTATTTGGATAATTGTCTATAAATAGACATTGACAGTTCATGGTTAATTTCAAGTGTTGGTGTTCACATCACAGAAAAACCACTGCCCATATATGGAGATAATCAGAAACAATTAGAGAAACAACTCTGGTTTAAATGTGGGGCTGTGATCAGGGCTTTCACACCCAGTTGATAGTGCTAATTAGGGAGCTTTCTGCACCTTCAAGAATAGGTGTAAGGAGAACCTTACACATCTCTTAAAAAACCCCAAACAAAACATATGGTAAGAGTCTGATGTGGTGTAAGTTCCAGACTGTGGGATTCCTTAAAGAAACGGAGTTGCTAAGCAAGCTTTTAATGGCTTGCAACTCAAACAGTTTTAGCATAACAAATCAGAAAGATGGAACTTATTTACTGATTGAATTCTGTGGGAAAATACTGCAGAAATGTTATCCTTGGATGTGAAAGGTTAGCATTTTTACAAAATATACAGAAAACCCATAGGGAATTCTAGCACAGGGAATACAAGCTCTCTTGCTTATGATTTGGACTGAAGGAAACTCTGTAAAAGCACACAATGAATGCCCAAGGCACTCTTGCCTGTGCTCCTAAAGAGAAGAAAAAAACCCCAACCAAATTTCACAGGTTTAGTGACACTAAACGAATTTATTCAAAGTAGTAACACCTGCTGTCTTTCATGCAAAGCCCACAATTTTCCCAGTCTCAAACTCTCATCTCATTGCAGTGTGTTGCAGCATTGCAAAACCCCCATGCATGGGGTTTTGAACAAATTCCTCTCATGAACAGGGAGCATAAGATGTGGAATAGGGCACTGGTCTGAAATTGGGAACAGCTCAGACTATGGCTCACTGCTATATGCTAGTGGGGCTCAGTCAAGTAGCTGATTGTGTCCATGGGTAGACCATCAGATGGTAATTTAGCATCTTCTCATGGCTCCCAAATCATTACTCACTGGTTTGCTCTTATACAGTTAGGCTGCCGAAATATTTTGAGTGCCTAAGCACTCTAAAGTAGTGCATGAGCAGATCTCAGGTTCAGCTCAAGGTCAGTCTTCAAATGAAAGAAAATTAATTATCAGAGTTAATTATGTTCCTGGGATTTTTTCTTCACAATGTGTGACTTAAGTTATGTATGGACAGGTCAACTTTTCTTGAGACAACTTAGGTTAAACAAGAGTAACCACACATCAGAACAATGCTCAAGCTACACCAAATTGTACACTTGTCTCCAGTGCAATTTATCACTTACTTCAAGCTACAGAATCCCATGTGTCCCCATATGCCAGATAAGTGGTAATACAAACACCCCAGAGTAACTTAGCACTGAAAACAAGCCCTATATCTTGAATAAAATATACATGTTTACTCTATGAGAAGATGAACTTCTCTGGAAGTAGGTGTTCTTTTCTATTGAATATAAAAGGAGTTGCATATTATTGCTTTAGACTTGGAAACAATTTTTAAATTAATTAAAAGTTTAGGTATCAAAAATTATTAAAATAAATTTCTCTCATGTATCTTGTCTTCAAAGAAATAATGATCATAGATTGTGCTGCTATACATAGTTAGAATAATCCCAGGTCCAAAAGGTGTTTTTAGGAATTTGATGAAACCCCAAATCTGAAGTAGACACAGACTTGCTTACACCATAACCTTCTCATCGCTATGGAAACAAATCCAGTGGGAAATGGCTACATATTTCTTTTTAAGTGCCAGTAATTTCTAACAACATAACTTCAAGTCTTCCGTTACTGAAAACACTGTTCACAATTATTTTTAATCTGTTGTCACATTCAAAATGTCTGGTCAGTTTATTCAAGGAAATAGCTGTCTTTATACGGGTCAATATGCTAAATATAGCACAGGTGAACTTCATAGAGATAGAACTAAACAAGCTTACTTAAATATGGATATAATTGTTCAGGGAAAATGTTCTATCATGCTCTCTCTAAACCCAAAGACAGAATCAGTTTCATAAGTGGTCAAAAGTAGTGAATGAAATATCTGAGCAGTCATAACCTGGATGACGTAACTGTAAACAAGTCCAGCCAAGATGTGCTTTAACAGATTTTGCCACTAAAATATATAGCATAGAAAAACAAGAACTAAAGCAGCCTTATATAATTTTTAGAGGTTGTGGCTATAGATTATAGATTCTACAATAAAAACTTTCACAACAATATTTTTCTTAAAATAGTGCTGAATCCAACTGGTCCCAACACTAGAGCCAGATCAGTATTTTCCTGACCGTCAATAAAATGGCCTACTCTTCAATCATCACCATTTCCCTGGCAGTATGGGAGTTACTTATTTCTTATTATTCTTCCAGCAGGAGAGTGTTTGTTATGCTGTAAAGAATTCTTCATATATTTGTCTGGGTAAATACAGAATTATTTTTAAATACATAACAAAGTCAGGATTAATCAGTAATTTAATATTAGTCTCAAAGTCAGTAAATAGAAAAATACCTTCCCCAATAAATTTTGAAAATGAGAAATGACAATATTAACAAATATGTAGATTTGGAATAAAAAAATAATGTGTAGTGGTCAGAAAAAAACACAGGAGCAATTGAATAAATTAATCATAACACATGGTATAATGGCAAATATTCATCATCTATTTTCAGAGTTAATATTTATATTCAGGGAATAAATTCTTTTTTTTTTTTTTAAGCAGAAGAATAAACAACATAGTAAGTTAGTAAAAATCCACAGAATTAATCACAAAAGAATGCTATCTAATACACAGCAGTTATAAAAACTTAGCAAAAACATGGTAAAGAAAAGCAATTTGGACAACTCTTCCAAAATAAAAATAAAATTGTAAGAAAAGTCTTACAAAATAGAAGAGTTTATAAAAAAATTAGTCTCGTATCAAAAATACACCTGGTAATTCATTAAAAAGAGTATTGGAGAACAGTCTATTCCTAATTATATCCGGAAGTACCTGCTGAGCATCTGCACCAATGACGTCCATTCCGTACGTACTTTCCCTGGGGACAGCAGAGTGCAAAAAAAACAATGATGTAAGCACTACAATATCTTCCCAGTGCAATGCTATGGTTTGTTTGTCTGCTTGTTTTTAATAAAACTGTAGTAATTTCTTCCACTTTCTAAGAGATCTCACAGACTCCTGGCAGCAGATACAGTATTGCCCAGCAGGAATTTGTCTTGTTTTGGATATGAGGAAGCACTTCATAGAAACATAAGCATAAAAAGTAGATTTGTTATAAGGGAGATTTAAATAGAAGTCGGTATTTGACTGAACATAATCAATTTAATTTATTTGTTCAGACATGCATACCTTCACTGCACAGATTTTGGAGTGTTGATTCACAGGTGAAATAGATGAGTATTCATCTTGTGAAGGTACTTTCACAAGTTGGCCACTATGTTTTTAATCAGCTGATACCACATTCTCCAAAACAAAGCCACCTGACTTGGCCAGCTGGCTGTGAGAATTGATGGAGAAATACATGGAAGAGGAGGGTACTCAGAGAATTCCCACTCTCCACACTTATCAGAAAGTATGTTGATGATAAACTATTGTTTAAAATAGCCCACCTTCTAATTCAAGTGCACTCATAAGATATGCTTAGAAACATAAGAAATCTGTTGGATTTTATAAAGGAACTGTAAAATCCTGGCAGACTTCCTTACCACAGAAGAGGGCTGAGTTAAGTAAATTCAAATAAAAGTCTTGTTGGCATTTAAACAGAGTTATCCTGTTCATGAGGATAAAATGGTTGACCTCAAATAGACCAGATAATGTCTTGGACATAGTTCCTGAAAAGGGATGGCATATACTGTCTTGCAAAGGCACCTGCATGGCATCCAAAGCTGCCAGACTAGAAAAACCCTCTTCATAAGCAAGGATGCCGACTCAAGAATTCTACTTCAATGCTAAAGCTCAGTCAAGAATGTCAGCTCTGAAGAACTGAAAAATGCTTGAATTAAAGATCAAGTATTTTATTTATTTAGAATAGAAATTAGTTAATTTAGTGTTCATGTGAGCTGTGTGTGGTGGGTTGAACTTGGCAGCCTGGCAGGCCACTACTCAGCTGCTCTCACTCCCTCTCCTCAAAAAGACGAGTAGTCAAATAAGATGAAAAATATATGTTGAGATAAAGGTTATGAGATAAGCTACCTTCAGCCATCATGGGCAAAAAGATTAAACTTGAAGAAAAACTCATTTAATTTCTTGTCAATTAAAAAATGTAGGTAGTGAGGAAAAAAAAGATAGAATACCTTCTCTATATACACCCTTTCTTTCCAGGAACAACTTCAACCCTTCATTTCCAACTCCTTTAATTCCTCCTCAGACTCAGTAGTGCAATGTGGCTCCTCCCCACTGTGGGCTGCATTCTTGAAGTATAAACCTACTCCACCAAAGGCTCTCCATGGGCTGCAGTTCCTTTGGAAAATATCCACCTGGGCCAGTGTGGGGGTCCTCTATGGGCTATTGCTGTGGTTCCAGCTCATCTTACAACCAAGTATCATGCAGCCAGACTCACTCCCCCCGCCCTTCTCCCCTTCAATACTGGGGAGAGAATCAGAAGAGTAATATCTAGAAAATTCGTGGGATGAGATAAAGACAGTTTAGGAGGGAAAGAAAAAGCTAGGCATGCAAACAAAGAATGCCTAATTCACGGCTTCCCATGAGCAGGCAGGTGTTCATCCATCTCCAGGAGAGCAGGGCCCCATCACAGCTACTTGGGAAGACAAATGCCATCACTCCAAATGTTCCACCCTTTCCTCCTTTTTCCCTCTACTTTATCTACTGAGCATGATGTTGTAAAATCTGGAATATCCCTCTGGTCCGTTTGGGTCACCTGTCCTGGCTGTGTTTCCTCCCAGTCCCCCATAACAAAAACATCTCTATTATCCACCCTGTGTTCAGCACAAATCCAAAACACAGCCACTGAGAAGGAAAGGAATCCTACCTCAGACAAAACCAACACAACTCTGACATGAATACCTGCTCCAACGTGGTCCTCTCTACAAGCTGGGGGCAAATCTCTGCTCTAGGGCCTGGAGCAGCATTGCTCTCTCCCTCTGTTCCCACCTTGCTGCTCATGGGGTTGTTCCTCTTTTTCCTCAGAATCTTCTGTGTCATGTTTTGCCCTTTCTTGACTTTGTTCTCCCTCAGTGACCCTGCCCCAGCTGTGGCTCAGCTGCACCTTGCGGAGGGCGGTTGGATCCGGCAGGAACCGGCTGTGTCCGGCTGGAACCCGCTGTGTCCGGCTGGGGCAGCCCTGGCCTCCCCTCATGGAGCCACTGCTGCTGCTAGGGCTGGGCCTCCACAGCTTCCACAGTAATAGTGAATAGAAAATGCAGTACTTAGTCCACAAGGTCCATGTGCTGCCGGCGGCTGCACGGAAGCATTTTCCCTTACCCATCACTGTTGTTTGAGTTGACCTCAGTGGCCACAAAATTTGAGAGCTGTGGAAACCCAGGGCACTGGGAATATTTCTCTGTCTGCTCTGGGGTGTCCTGGCCCCCGGGGGAGCACTGACTTTGACCCTCATTCATGGAGAAAACTTCCAAAGCCTCAAGGTAAACTAGAAACCATGAAAGTGCAAAATAGATTGTAGAGATTGTAGAGAGTAGTGTAGTATATCACATGGGTGAGAAATTTAGGTTTTAGAATTTTTAGTATGTTATAGATGGGTTCAAGATGGAGGATATAGGGTGTTGTCTTGAGTTCCTTTCTTCTTTCTTCTTCTTCCTCTTTCTTCTTGGGTTTAGACGGTATCTTGCAATTGGATAGAAAAATCCACATTGCAGGTCTTTAGAGGTCAGTTATTGGGTTAGAAAGGAAAATAATTTAGGTGTCACTTCTTAATTGGGTAGCTTAATTTTTGATTAGACTTAAAAGGCCTTGTAACAAGAGCTTGTTAGCCATTTTTGTGCTGTTTTTTCTGCATGCAGTCTGGTGCAGACAGTGTGCTGAAGTTTTGATAAGATAACAATAAACAGAAGATGAAGACAGAAAAAGTCCAATGCATCTCTCTTTCTTGACACAGAACTGCTCCAGGAGGGTCTCCTCTGCCAGGGGAGCCCCCAGAGAGTTACCTAACTTGGGGCCCACAAACTCACAGAGAGCCAATATCTTTCACCACAGTTTACTTAGCCTTTAGCCTTTAAATTGGTAAGATCAGCAGGGATGTCAAATACTAACTGTGGTTATGTCAAAAATTACATACTGGGACTGAAGCAACTGCTTTCATGGAAGCCTGTGGACACCCATAGGGGAGTAACAAGGAGCACTTGCTGCCATCCTGCCCCCAACAGAGAGGCTGCATTCACCCTCTTCTACATGCTGATCCTTTGAGTCATCCTGTGAACCCAGCCTCACTATTTTAAGACTCATTTGAGCATACCATGTGGCCATAAATAGAAACATGTCTGAAGGCAAATAAATACAAAATAAATTGCTCATTTTAGCTCATTGCCGAAAGTGTAGAAAATAACCGCCCTTTCAACAAGAAAGGCATTTTTTTTGCCATTTTTAGCTAACAGTTCATCTGTTTCCTTTGAGTTAAAGCATATTTCTGTACTTCGAAAGTTCTGTAATCTGAATAAATTAGAATCTATTTTGTCTCTTTCCAATATCTTAACAGTTTTCCTCTTCTTTATTTATTTCAAATAATTTCCATTTTAATTCTGTACAGATGATAGGATTCAAGTTTTCAATTTCTGGAAAAATTAGCATCCTGTTTGGCTTCTGCTGGCAAGAACTGATGAAGTATGCAGTCACAGATTACACCTGCTGGCTTTGTCTTCCTTGAGGTTTCAGTCTCTGCTTCACCCGTGGTGTATCATGGTTAGGTGTTTGCTAATACCATATGAGCATGACTAGCTGGAGTTGACTGGGGCATAATGGTGTTCAGGTCAGATATCTGATCTGCTGAAAACTCTGTATTTTGAGGAGACAGCCAATGGTGTAGTTTAAAGATATCTCTCTTTATACTATGCAAGATCACTTTCAAGACTTTAAAAGCATGGAGAATTTGGTGGTGTATGTCTGTCATGGTTTAAACCCAGCAGACAACGAAGCTCTACACAGATATTTGCTCAAACCTACCCTCCCCCTTCCCCCTGGTGGGATAGGGAATAGAATCAGAATTGTAACATTGAAAAAAATCATGAGTTGTGATAAAGACAGTTTAAGTAAAGCAAACAAAATCTGTATACACAAGCAAAGCAAAACAAGGAATTCATTAATCTCTTCCTACTTACAGGCAGGTGTTCAGCCATGCCCAGGAGAGCAGGGCTCCATCACGCATAACAGTGACTTGGGAAGACAAGCACCATCACTGTATCTCCTTCCCCCTGCCTTCTTCCTCCTTCTTGCCCCAGCTCTATATGCTGAACATGATGTTCGGCATATGTTGTGGGATAACCCTTGGCTCAGCTGGGATTGGCTATTCCAGCTGCATCCCCTCCCAGCCTCTTGTGCACTCACATCCCCCCCATCCCCCCCACTGGTGGACTGTGGTAAGAAGCAGGAAAGGCCTTGATGCTGTGCAAGCCCTTCTTAATGATGACAAAAGTAACACTATTTTCACCACAAATCAAGAACACAGCACCATAGCAGCTGCTATAAAAAAAAAAAAAAAAAAAAACAAAAAACTCTATCCTAGCCAAAACCAGCACAATGGCAAAAACCTGCAAGGTTCCAGCCTTCTGGAAGGGCTAAAGTGTTTGAATATTCAGATACACAGCTCTCACAGCACCAGTCTGTCAGTGTGACAGTTTATGGAAACTGAAGATCTTTTCCTCAAGGAGAAGCAGAAGGACCATATTAAATTGTAAAGAAAGCAGTGTTAATTATGACAGGCAACAACATTACAGGAAATTTGAAAGGCAGTACTAGAAGTCATACAAGCCAATATTGACTGAATAGCAGAAGTGAAAGCTCTAAAGTTACTGCTATCATTGCTTGGCCCAAAGGAGCATGTTACACAATTCAGTTGGAAATCCATCAGAAATATCTTTGCCTTGGTATCCCCATCTCTTTGTTCACTCCATACCTATTAACAACCCAAAGCTGTCCAATTATTTTTAGGTGTGATCTTGATGAAGACTCTTCAGGGAAACATGCACTCTCTTGCTCAAGGTCTGTATGTTTACATGACCCACAATTTTCAACATACAGAAGCTTAGGTGCTCGGGGTTGGGCACCTTCTTTCCAGACAGAAAAGCTCTTTTCCTTCTGAATCAGTCAAAGATTTTTTTTTAGAGTCAAATTAAGTAATAAGTGTATGTTTTTTAATAAGTTTTTGTTTTAGTCTTCCCAGAAGATGATTCACTCTTAGCCCAGGGGCAGCAGCAATGTCAACATGAGGTAAGGGCAACCCATAACTCTTTTGGAGAAGTACTAGAATTAGAAATGCATAATGAATTTGGGAATCACAAAAAAGCTTGTGAAAAAAATTTTAATCTGAACCGAACAGAAAAAAAAAAAAATAAATGGCATGAAGGGAATAAATTATTTTATATCATGATTGTCTCTGTTGAAAGTGATACACAGGATTGAGGCTAATCTTTTCAGATTAAGCTAAGGGCCCACTTAACACAGAAATACATGAAGAGGCAGTTAAGAAATATCCAACTAAACTGGATGGTCACATTGAGCAAGTAGTGGTCAGTGGCTTAGTTTCTGGATGGAGACCAGTTATGAGTGGTGCCCCTTCAGATCTGTACTGATACCAATACCGTTTCATGTCTTTGTCAATGACGCAGACAGTAGAATCAAATGTACCCTTAGCAGGTTTTCAGATGACACCAAAATAAGTGGTTTGATTGACATGACTAAGAGACAGGATGCCAGATAGAGGGATCTGGACAAGCTTAAAAAATGGGCCCATGAGAGTCTCATGAGATTCAATGAGGTTAAGTGCAAGATCCTGCACTTGGGTCACAGTGATTCCAAGTACAAATACAGTTTGGGCAGAGAACTGCTTGAGAGTAGTCCCAAGGCTGCACAGGGCAGCAAGGATGAAAGAAAGGAAGGAAGGACAGAAGGACAGAAGGATGGAAGGACGGATAGAAGGAAGGATGGAAGGACGGCAGGAAGGAAGGCAGGAAGGCAGGAAGGAAGGAAGGAAGGAAGCAAGGAAGGAAGGAAGGATGAAAATCTGGACATGACCCAGCAATGTGCTCTTGTATCCCAGAAGGCAAATTATATCCTGGGGTAGCATGATCAGCAGGTCTATTCTTCCACTCTATTCCACTTTCATGAGACCCCACTTGTAATGCTGTGTCCAGCTCTGGGGTCCTCAGCACAAGAAAGATGTGGACCTCTTGGAGCAAGTAGAGACGAAGGGCACAAAGATGATCAGAGGGCTGGAACACCTCTTCTATGCAAATACGCTGAAAGAACTGGGATGGTTCATCCTGGAGAAGACTCCAGGAAGAACCTCATTGCAGTCTTTCAATACTTAAAGGGGGCTTATAAGAACATTGTGAAAAGACTTTTTACTAGGTTCTGTAGCAATTGGACAATAAATAATGGTTTTAAATTAAAAAGACGGTATATTCAGACTAGAAATATGGAATTGTTTTACACTGAGGGTGGTGAAACACTCGAACAGGTTGGCTAGAAAGGCTGTACATGACCCATCTTGGAAACATTCAAAGTCAGGTTGGACAGGGCTAGGAATGACCTGACCATGTTGAAGATGTTCCTGCCCACTGCAGGGAGATTGGAACTACATGATCTTCCAAGGTCTCTTTTCACACAAACCATTCTATGATTCTGGATGATTAATAAATATTACAGCACAGGGGGTCCATGTCATAACATGCCTTCTTTCCTCTGACAGTGCTGGAAGTATTTTACAATTAAATATCTGAGCAGCTTTTTTACAAAAATTAGAGCGAAATTTGAAGTATTAAATCTTTGACAATCTCTAATGTACCACCAAAAATGAACAGAATGAATCTGAACAGGAAGCCTGAAAATGCAATTGAAGTGAAAATTTTAAATCACCTTGTTAAAATCATATGGATTTTTAATGCATAATAATGGTTGTAATATTTCAGATAAACAGTCAGTATAGGATATCCAACTAATTTATTTGAACTTCAGAAAGCCTTTCAAACATCCCACTAAACCAGCAATTATGAAATTAAATAGACACAGGGTAGGAGATCATGAACTTCCAAAGTATGAAACTGATAAACTT